AAATTCTTGATTTGTGACTAACGAAATTAACTGTGACCTATAAATTTTTTCATCCGTGACCTCGAAATAATCCAACACCAATTAATTTGATAACCTGTGACCTGAAATTAATTTTTAACTAATTAATAAGATATACGCTATCAAATTATACAATTAAATATTTAATTAATTAATAAAAAGTAAAAACCTGATTTTTACAATTTTAAAATTTAGCACTTGATTTTTTCAAATGTCAAACAAAACACCTGAGCAATAAACTTTTCCCCCTTCCTTATGCAATTTCAAGAAGCCCATTGGGCCAAGAAAGTAGCACTATAGCTGGCTTGCTAGGCCTTTTCTGTCGCCTGCTATTACGATCCTGCAGACTAAGTTAAAAGGTAAAGATTTCCTGATTGAAAACATCATTTTTTCTTCAGTAATAATCAATCTGTAAATTATTACTTGGAATCAGTGTTGTTTTCCCGATCTTTTAAGGTAAGAATCACTCAATAACACTCTGTTTTTCCATGTTAATTTACGTTCTTAATTGATGTCCTTATAGATAGATTGGTTTTTATAAATTTGGAATCTTTTGATCCAGTATGGGGAAATATATGATCGACACTAGAGCATAGGTTTGGAAATTAGCAATGCAGTAAAGCCAGATCTGTTGCAAGGTATGTGTAGCTTCACTCTTGACTTTTATTAGTTCTAAAAGCTTTGTTAATTTGGTGATTATTCCGTACCAAGTTTCATTTATTTTTTTGTTCCTCACCTTATCTTTGCGAAAAGGGAAATTCTTATTTATTCGGTAAATCAATGTTGGCTTGTTGTGGTCTCAATATTTTGAATTGTTTGAATCCCGAGCTTGCATTGATCACTATCTTTATGAAAACCTCAATTTATGAATTGCTTGATGTTGTGCTGAGCTTGGGGAAAATATAACTTTTTCTGTTTGGGTTTTAACAAAATTTTGAACTTTTGAAATGTTTAATTTCACTTCATTGTGGGATCTTACTGATGTTTCTTGTTGGTGGTTTAATTTACCTTCTCTTTCGCTTAAATTTTCTACATTTATTTGTGGTTTTGGCATCTTCTTTTTCTCTTTTAGTGTTAACTGTGTTGCTTTTCTTTTTGTCCTTTTTTTTAAGTGATGGTGTACTTTTATGGTCTTTTCAGGTAAAATTACATTCTAAATGAGTTGAGGACTCTACAAGGTCAAGTAAGTAGTTATAATTAGAAAATGGAAGAAGAAGAAGAAATAAGGGACCATAGAGGATTTTCTGGTGGGAATTCTGAAACTTGTGGTGAAGGAAATGGTGTAGACCATATTGTAGGAACATCTATTACAGAAAAAGTTGAGATACATAGTAATATTGCAGATAATGAAGGTACCAATGTAGTATTGGAAGGAGTTGATTCATCTTCTCCTGTTGTAGATGATGATCTTTTTGAACATGTTCCACTGAAAGAACATAATAAAAATGCTGAGGATGTGAATGAGTCTTTGATTCCAGATAATTTGAGACATTCATCTGGTGGGAGTGAGGAAACATTTGAGTTTTCCTTTGGAAATGTTCCAAGCTCAGGATTTAACTCTCCCCTAGGTGCAGAGATGCTTCACGATCACCATTTTTCAAGCCCAGGGCACGAGAGAGATTTGACTGATAACATTACAGTATCATCCTCTTCAGCTAGTCTTGATTCTGCTCTGTATTTCCGTGTAGATAGTGGATTCTCTCCTGTTGAGTCTCCTCAAAAGACCAAGCCTAAACAGGTCATGCTTAATGTGTCTCCAGAGCTATTGCATTTAGTAGATTCTGCTATAATGGGAAAAACGGAAAGCTTGGAAAAGCTGAAGAATATTGTGAGTGGTGTTGAGATTTTTGGGAATGGCGAGGAGGCTGTTAACATTGCTTACTTGGTAGTTGATTCCCTTCTTGCCACGATGGGAGGTGTTG